TATTGCTGGTTATGAATAACCTATGATGTTGTGTGGCTGCAGTAGTAGCCGCGCGATTTTGATATTCCAAATTTGAACACTTAAATCTGGAGGGATTTCTGCCAAAACCTGCTGGGTTCCGAGATTTGCTCCTGAGTCTCTGGCATCCTGGTCATTAAGCAGCTTGATCAGGAGTCAGAGAGGCCGTTCGTGGATGATGACTTGGGGTCTCGTTGGGACGGAGAGGACAGGACTGGTTCCACCCCCATCCTGTGAGGCCCAACAAGTTTTGTCACTGAGGGCCCAAGCCTGACTGTCCAGCCACCTGGCCGCCAGGGGAAACAGGCCAAGGCATGAAACCATGGGCCCAGCACTGCAGGGACCAGACGCATTTCTGCCAAAAGCCACTGGGTTTCGAGATCTGTTTCTGAGTCTCTGGGATCATGGCCATTAAGCAGTTCAATCAGGAACCAGAGAGGCCATGCCTCCAATGATATAGCTGAGCCGGAGCTGGCTTGTGGGTGTGTTTCCCACATACCTAACTTTTGGCCGTTTACTTTCTTGGTAAACTTTGCCCAAGTTTTTGGGGTCTGACCATAGTCACAGCAGCAATTTTGGGGTATCTGGAGTCTGAAGGTGCCATCTGGTTGCTGATATACTCACCTCACAAGTACAGTGTTTTTCATTTGTTTGTTTGTTTTTAATGTAGGAGTACTGCTATTTATTCAGCCACTGATTAGCTGATTGAATTGGGCTTGAACTCCACCTTACTTTTTTTTTGTTTTTCATAATTTTATTTATTTATTTATTTTTTCTTCTTATATTTATTTATTGAATCACCGTGGGAAAAGTAACAAAGCATTCAGATTTAAGTCTCGGTCATGCAATGATCAAACACCTTTCCCTTCACCCTTCACCAGTACTCATTTTTCACCACCAAGAACCCCACTATACCCCAGCTCCCACCCACCCAATGCCTATGAGGCAGATGATTTCTACTTAACTCTTCTCTACATTGATTACATTCATTATATCAACAAACGATGCACCATGATTGTTTAGAATTTACCCCCCAACAATCAGAATGGCTGAAAAGGCATTGTGAAATACATTGTTTTCTATATAAAGTTTGGAGTTCCGGGGCTGGAGAGATAGCACAGTGGGTAGGACATTTGCCTTTGACGTGGCCAACTCGGCTTCCAGTCCCAGCATCCATATGGTCCCCTGAGCAATGCAGGAGTAACTCCTGAGTGCAGAGCCAGGAGTAACTCCTGATTGCAGAGCCAGGAGTAACTCCTGAGTGCAGAGCCAGGAGTTACCCGTGTGAGTTCAGAGCCAGGAATAACCCTTGTGCATCACCAGGTGTGACCCAAAAAGCCAAAAAAAATAAAAGTTTGGTGTTCCTCCCCTCCAAACACAGGTGTGAGGTGCTGCGTTTAGCTGAGCAAGCAGAAGGAAAGCAGAGAGCTCGGGCCCAGAGGTTGATGCAGATTGCTGGGTCGGGCCGTCGATCAAGGGAAATTTGGGGATCTCTGGGACCCGTCCTCTGGCCCAGGGTCACGGTCCAAACACAGGAGCATGGGGGTGAGGGGGTCGGGGCTTGTTCAGGCCAGAGACTCTACTGGGCTCACACACGGCACTGAGTGCTCAAGTCTCAGGGAGACAGTGAGGTTCAAACACATTTTCTTTCGCGCTGTTTTTTTCTTTTTTTCTTTTTTGGCTTTTTGGGTCACACTCAGTGATGCTCAGGAATTACTCCTGGCAGTGCTCAGGACTGGTGATAGAACGTTAGTCAGCCGTGAGCAAGGCAAACCCCTCCCCACTGTGCTCTCACTTCAGCCCCTCCTTTTGCATCTTTTTGTGTTTTTTCAGAATTGATTGATTTCCTCGTAGACTTTGCTGGCCCTGACGTTCTCTGTAGAGTCCCTTGTTGCACACTGTGTTTCGTGGGCACTTTGACATCAAGACTTGGTGCTTGCCTGGTGCATGGCTCACCCTATAGGTCCCCTGAGCACCGCCAGGAGTGATTCCCGAGTGCAGACCCAGGAGTAACCCTGAGCACTGCCGGGTGTCCCAAAAAACAAAAGGAAAGAAAGAAAATAGGTATCCTTGACCGGAAGGGTAGCCCAGGGCCAAGGAGCCTGCCTTGCCTGTGGCTGACCCCACCCCACCCTATACGTCACCCCCCCCCAGGTCCTGCCAGGATGAGCCCCCATGACTGGATCAGAGTCGGCCCTGAGCACCGCCAGGTGTGTCCCGTCCTCAGCCCCTAGGTTAGGTCACTCCGCCCTCCCCTCCTCCCCACCACTCCCCCGTTCCTGCTCACTGATCCTCGAGGGGACCTGCACTCATTCAGCTTGTGCTCCCATCGGAAGCAGGCCAGGCCATACTCCTCTGTACAGCTCTCAGGCCTTAGTGGGCTGGGCCACTCCCTGGCCACGGTGCGGCAGGTGTTGCTCACAGCACTGGGGTCACAGAGAGCAGGGCTGTCAGGGTCGGGCTCAGGGCCTCTGCCCTGTCGCTCTGCCCCTCCGCCCCCCCCCCCCCCCCGCCCACAGATTTTATGGCCCGGCTCCTGAGGAGGGCCCTGGGCACGGTCACTGAGTCCAGGTCCCACTCAGGGGACGCCGAATGACCTCAATTGGAGATCTGTAACTGACAAACATTTGTCAAACGTTTTCTGAAACCACTTTCTCAGGGCTCAGGAGTCCAGAACTGGGCCCCGCAGGGACCAGAGGCACATTGGCCAGCTAGTGCTGGCGTCTGCAGGGCAGCCCTCCGGAGCCTCAGCCGGACCCTGGCGTCACGAAGGGTGGCGCCTGCCCCTTCAAGAAGGGCCCATGATGCCCTCCTCCTTGCTGAATTCTCATTCTACCTCGGAACATTCTAGACTCCAAGTGCCATTTTCAGTCTCTGTAGGAGACTGGCACGAGCCTGTTTGTCAGAGCTCAGTTCTTTAAGCTGCGAGTGCAGTGTGACACAGGTAAATCTGAGTCTCTGGGATTTTTGCCGGCGTGCGGGCGACTTTTTTCTCTAACAGTTCTTTAGTGTATGATAGTTTTTAATCTTTAGTTCGTTTAAGTTTTTTTAGTAGTTATATATATATTTTTGGGGGGTGGGGGCGGGGTGGGGTGGGGTGGCCATACCTGGCTGTGCCCAGGGGTCACCCTGGCCGGCTAACGTCCCTGTGCTGACGGAGATCGAGCCCAGGACAACTGGATAGAAGGCAAGTGCCCTCCCCACTGTCCTGCCTCTCTGCCCCCTGTGGACTTTTCTATTAAATACGGAATGACTCTGAAGTCAGTGGGCCCTCATGGGGGGCTGATGAGAAGCAGAGGAGAAGATGTCACTCCCCCGGGACTGGCTGGAGCCCTGGCACTGATGAGCGCGATGAGCCCTGCCAGCCCCACGACGCCCACTAGGCCTTCCCGGGGTCTCGGGCCGGAGTGAGGGGTTGCCCTTTTCAGGGAAAGGGAGTCGATCCTCGACCTCCTCAGGCCCCCGGGCCTTTGTCCTTCTCGCAGAAAAGCATTTCAGGAGATGAGCATGAAGCAGAAGCATTTTATTTGGAGGCTTTTAGGAAGGGGAAGGAGGGAGGGAGTAACACGCTCGAGAGAGAGTGAGCTTCTCCAGAGGCGCAGAAAGCCACTGAACACGTTAGGTTGCCTGGTTGCGTTCGGTCCGAAAGTTCACACCTCAGGAGGGGAGAAGCCCGTGACATGACCGACCTCATAGGCAAGAGCAGTCCCTGGGCTCGGGCACACATGAGCGCCATCCCTTGGTTCAAGGTGGCTAATCTCGGGTTTTCCCCAGGCTGCCCCTGGTGGGAGTTTCTAGCTACCTAGAGTCCGTTGCTAGGGTGGTTGCCAAGGGGGTAGAGTTGAGTGGTCCAGGGTCCTCTTAGAAATTCCTTTCCTGGCCTTTGTTCCTATTCCCCCCGTGGGGGGCGGGGAGGCTCCAGCCTGCTCTGGGCCTCCTAATGTGGGTTAATTTTGACCAGACCTTGGGTCCCGTGCCGTCAGGTGATCTTTTGGTGGCCATGAAGCTTTTGTTGACTTCCCCGGAGTTCCATTGCCATGGCGACGCTTCCCCCATCCACCTGTCTGCCTCAGTTCTGTGGGTTAAGAAATGGAGTTAATACTGGCTTGTGGTTATCAAACTTGGGCAGCGTCTCAAGGAACGAAGGAAACACCAACACCTCCTTCGCTCCCCTTTGGCTCCCCTTTGGCGCAATTTTTTTTCTTTTTGGGTCACACCTGGTGATGCACAGGGTTTACTTCTGGGTCTGCACTCGGGAATCAGTCCTGGCAGTGCTCAGAGGACCATATGGGATGCTGGGAATCGAACCTGGGTCGGCCGCGTGCAAGGCAAACGCCCTACCCACTGTGCTATCGCTCTCCAGCCCCCCTTTGGCGCAGTCTTGCTGGGCCCTTTTCCCTGGCAGTTCTCAGCCCATAGAAAAAGTGTGCCTGTTGCTTGCCTTAGTTTCTGTGTGTAACCCCGGGCCTCTCACACACACACATACGCACACACGCACACACAAGACCAGCGATCACTGCTGAGTCGCCTCCCGGCTAGTCAGTGTCTGGACGGGGAGGTGGTCAGTGACACTCGCAGTGCTCAGGCACGATTTCTGGCTCCTGAATGTGTTTGGGGGTGGGTGTGATGCCAGGGAGGGGTGAGGGTCAGCTACCCGCAGGGCAAGTACCTGTCCCCTCTGCCCTCTGGCCCCGAATCTGCAGTTGTTTGTTTGTCTGTTTGGGATTGAGTTTTTGCGCAGGAGTGACATTTGGTGGGCTCAGGGGGTTGTGCGGGAGGCTGGGGGTCGCACTTGGGGTGGCGAGTGTCAGACTGGCAGCTCTCTGGGCTCCGGAAGCTGCTGTGGTCGCTCCCCTGAGACAGACTCTCTCCTCTGCTCTTCAGAGATTTATCCCTGAGAACGAGTGCGCCTCAGAAGGCCCCACAGTGGGCTCGATGGTCGGGGCCTGGTAGTGGCCGCGGCAGCGTCTGACCACCTGACCATGAGTCTGCTGAGGCCCAGGGGGCTGAAGGCCCCCACCAAGATCCTCAAGCATGGGAGCTGGGCCCTGAAGGCGCCCTCGGCCGGTAAGAGCGCTCAGCCCGGGCCAGGGGAGACTCATTCCCACCCGGGAACCCCCTCCCGAGTCCTCGCCTGGGAAGGGCTCCCTGAGCTGTAGGCACGTTCGCGGCTCTGTGGACAGCTCTCACACAAGAGTCTCGCGTTCTGTGACTTTAGTGTCACGGCAACTGGTGACAGCTGAGGCGACCAACATGCTCCCTCCTAACTGCTAGCTCCCTCGCCCGGGGTTGGGGACAGGCTGAGGGAGGTGGACTCTCCTGGACTAAAGGGCCTCATTGCCGGCCGTAGCCACAGTACAGTGGAGAGGGCAACCGGCACCCCATGTGACTCTCCAGCCTCAACCTCACATGAGTGACCCTGAGCGCAGAGCCAGAAATAGGCCCTGAAGACTGGCTGGGGTGCTCTCCCCCTAAAAGAAAAAGAAGATGGGCCATGGATACAGCAGAAATAAGACACTGGGTTGGAGCTTTCGCCTGGCTTGGTCCGTAGCATCACGGGGTGTGTCCAAAGATTCCCCTCAGCTGCCCAAATATGACTGCGGCCTGGGATGCTGCAGTAGGTAGGCACGTCCCCTTCACGGTGGGCCCGGCCCGGCTTTGCCACAAGCAGCCCCCGTCATTGGCTGGGAGTAGCCCCAAGCACTGCTGGGTGTCCCTCCCCCCCAACCACACCTTAACTGGACCTAGGCAGGCCCTTCCTGACCCTTCTGACCCTTCTGACCCTTTCTGCTGTTCCAGCGGCTGCTCCCGTTGAGAAGACCGTGCCTGGGGAGAAAACACCCAGCGCCCCCTCCTCGGAGACGCAGGAGGAGTTTGTGGACGACTTCCAGGTCGGGGAACGAGTCTGGGTGAAGGGGAAGAAGCCTGGATTCATCCAGTTCCTCGGGGAGACGCAGTTTGCCCTTGGTCAGTGGGCCGGGATCGTCTTGGATGAGCCCATAGGCAAGAATGACGGCTCGGTGGCGGGTGTGCGCTACTTCCAGTGCGAACCGCTGAAGGGCATCTTCACCCGGCCGTCCAAGCTGAGCAGGAGCTGGCAGGCCGATGACGAGACCAACGGCCTGCAGCCAGCGCCTGCCGCCGGGGCCACACCACCCCTGTCGGCCTCCCCGGCCCCTGCCGCCGCCCCGAAGGCACCCCAGCCCTCCGCGAAGGAGGCACCGGCCACCCCTCACATCAGCAACCTGACCAGGACGGCCAGCGAGTCCATCTCCAACCTCTCGGAGGCTGGCTCCCTCAAGAACGGGGAGCAGAAGCTGAAGCTCGGGGAACGGGTGCTGGTGAGTGCCGAGGGCAGCGGTCGCGGGTGGGTGTCCATTCGCCTGTCTGGTCCATCAGCTTTTCCAGACTCGCGGTTTGGGTGGAAGCACGAGCAGCCTGGACGCCTGGTCCTGCAGTTTCCAGCGTGATGGATGCGTGCGGGGATGCTGCCAGTTTTACCAGTTTAGTCAAAACAGGGTGGAGGGGTCATGCCGTGGGGAGGCCGCATGCTTTGCACGCCTCTGACCCGGGGTTTAAGTCTTGGTCCCATGTACAGTCTCCCAAGCACATCCCGGAGTGATCCCTGAGCACCAAGCCAGAAGTAAGCCCTGAGCACTCTGACTGTGACTCAAAAAACAAACCGACGAACAAAGTTGGAAATCGGTTCCATTGCTCTGGTTTGTGATGTTTGTGTTTGGGGCGTCACAGGGCTCACCCCGAGCCGCTCCGGGCCATTCCGTGCCCGGCTGTGCGCAAGCCCTGAGCCGTCTCTCCAGACGTGTGTGGTTTGGTGTTTGGGCCACACCTGGCTGTGCTCAGGGCTTCCTCCTGGTGCTGAACTCAGGGATCACTCCTGGGAGGGCTCAGGGGACCATCTGGGGTGTCGGGGATGGACCCTGGGTAGGCCATGGGTAGGGACCCGTCTCCCGAACATTCTCAAAAGTATGTTCTGCTGACTTGGTTGCTCGATCTTCAGACTCAGCGCCTGCTCTTGGGTTTCTCTGAGCAGCTCCTGTAAGGCCTTCGGTGGGGGAGAGGGGGCACCCCCATGAGATGAGTTTCTGGTGGGGGTCACCAGGTCCCTGCACATGGCATCCTCAGTCCACCCCAAGCCCATTCCTCTGCACAGGTCCCCAAGGCAGAGGCGCTTGCTGTAGACAACTGTTCTCCCCCAGCAGAAGCACTCAATAACGCTTTCAGAACCCGTGGGAAGCGGCCGGGAAAAGTCCCCTTGGGGACGTCTGCAGCGGGCGGCTCTGACCAGAAAGACTGGGGGCTGGCCCAGAGCCAGTGGCTTCCCGGGGACCACAGGGATGGCCACCGCCAGGTCGGTGTCCGAGCTGTGGAGGCCGGAGAAGAGAGCAGTCAGGGGACCCGCCTGCAGGCGCAGGGTGACCCTCGAAGGGTCCTGGAGGGTCACCCACCCCTGGAGGGGTTCGGGGGTGACCAAAGAATAACACAGGGAAGGAATTGGAGCTGGAGGAGACACACGGTTTAAAGACTGTTTGGGGGCCTGGAGCAGTAGTACAGCAGAGAGGGCGTTTGCCTTGCACTCAGCAAACCTGGGTTCCCCGGTATCCCATAGGGTCCCCCAAGCATCGCAGGAATCATTCCTGAATGCAGAGCCAGGAGTCACCCCTGAGCATCACCAGGTGTGACCAAAAGACGCAAAGAAGAAAAAAGACTTTTTTTTTTTTAACTTGCATTCACAACTGTCCACACCCGGACACAGGGACACCAGTGTCGTTGGAACAAGGGAGCGGGGACACCGCCAGTGGCTTTGCGGTGAATAACTCTGATCAGTTATTTATTTATTGGTGGTGGTGCTCAGGGCTCACTCCTGGCCCTGTGCTCAGGGACCACATCCGGGCAGGTGGGTGCAAGGCCAACGCCCTGCCCACTGTGCTGTTCCATCGCTCCATACGTCAGCTAGAGCACACCTTTCAAAAATAAAGTTTTTGAGGGTTTTTTGGGGGACCACAACCAGGATAATGGCTGTTTTCTGAAAGAAGAGGGAAAAAGAAAACCGAAACACTTTATTTGGTCTTTTTCCTAATGCAAGAAGCTTTGCTTGGCTGTCCACGGCCTAACACAGCCGTGGTCAGCAGGCCGTGGCGAGGGGGGGCTGCCCTCGGGGCACCGAGGCGAAGCTCCCGTGCAGGGCTGGCGCCCGCCCGCGTCTCCAAACGGCCTCCTGCCCTTTGCCCCATTCTTCCCTGCGCACAGGAAGTGCAGGTTCTGCCCCAGTTGGCCCCGATGTTTACGTGACTGACCTCGGAGGAGCCCTTCGGAGGAGCCCTTCAGAGACTCTGAGACGGCTGTTCCAGCCTTAGGCCTGTGGAAGGCGGTCCCCTGCCCCCGGCACTCCCCATCCCTGGCAGTGGACAGGTTGCCCCCATGCTTGTGCTACTTTGGTTCTCTCTGGAGACTCAGGGACCCTCAGTGGGGTCACTGGAAATGCCCAGCTCTGACCTCAAGTCCCGTCTGTGCTCGCAAGTAGGCAGGGGTCTCAGAGTGGGACAGTCCATCGCTCTGGTCAGTCCTATGGTGTCTCAGAGCGGGAGGTCACTCTGTCCGTCCTGTGGCGTCTCAGAGTCCAGCCGTGAAGAGCTTCTCCGGGCTGATGTGTGGTGGTTCTCCTGACCTTGGGAGATCACTTCCCTTCTCTCCAGCTGAGCTCTGACAGAATGTTCTGGAGACAGGCTTGCAGCAGTTTTGGGCAGATGATATTTCCAGGATATGATGTCAGGGTCTTGAGAGAATTGACTGGCTTCCAGTTGTGCTGTTAGAGGAGGCTGTTTCCGGGTCGGGGACGGCATGTTTTGTGCCAAATTCTTCGCCGATGACCAGCTGTGAGACAGGAACTTTGCAGACTCTTCTCACCCCAGGGCCGCCATCCCAGCCACCTGTCTCTTGTTCTTTTATTCTTTGTCACACTCACAGTGCCCAGGGCCCACGCCTGGCCACGGAGGCTGTGACAGGGCCTTTGCACATGGCACTTCAGGACTCGCAGAGACAGTCCTGGGTGACGCTGCTACCCCTCGTGCTGCGAGTGACCCCCAAGCACGTGAACCCAGTCCTACCCCAGACCCGAAAAAAATAAAAACCACGCTCTTGGGAATTATTACTTGAGGTTTCTCTCTCTCTCTCTCTCTCTCTCTCTCTCTCTCTCTCTCTCTCTCTCCTTTCTGTTTCGACTTTTTGGTTTTGGGGCCACTCCTGGCAGTGCTTCTGGGTCACTCAGGCTTTGCACTCAGGAATCAGTCTTGGCGGGCTAGGGGGACCATCTTGGGTGCTGAGGATTGAACCCAGGGTGGCCGCACATAAAGCCAGTGCCCTTCCCCCGGTGCTCCAGCCCTGTTTGTCAGCATTCCCGTCACTGTCCAGCTCTGTGATTCTATTTTGCTCTGTATCCCAGGGGCCAAGCGTGAAGCCAAGGCATAGTGAAGGAGAACTGGAAAATCGAACTCTGCTAAGATATGAGAACAGTCATTTTCCTTTAGCTGGTTTCTGGCTTAATTGTTCTCCAGCGGTGGGGTTGCCACGGCTCCGCTCCCACACCCGTGGGGCAGCGACCCCCTCGCCACACCAGGTGGCTGGCCTGGGTCAGAGATTCCCGGGGGTGTGGTCAGCCAGGCCACCGGTGTCAGCGAGTGGGTGTGAATGCCGCTGCCTTGCCAGCGTCTGCTAACCCTGTAGGGGTTGCGGGGGGAAATGGCACCTTGACCTTTGGGGTTTCTTCCGGAAATCCCTACTCTGAAGCCAGAATGTTCCTTCGCGGGGGTGGGGGCGCTGTGCGCAGTCCAGGGTGCCTGACCCGCGTCCCTCTGGCAGGTGGGAGGTGTGGAGGTCGGTGTGGTGCGCTTCCTCGGGGAGACGGACTTCGCCAAGGGGGATTGGTGCGGCGTGGAGCTGGACAAGCCGCTGGGCAAGAACGATGGCGCCGTGGCCGGAACGAGGTGGGTCCTTCTGCCCCCCCCCCCCCCCAGACAGCCTGGCGCAATGCACGGTGCCCGGGAGGCGCTGAGGGGACTGCAGGCCACTTCACTTGGTTCTTAGGCGGGGCCACTTCTGGTGGCACTCGGGGACCCTGCAGGGATGTGGGGAGAGCCTGGGGCTCCCACATGCAGCTGTGCTCGGCCCGCAGGAACCCCCCGGGCCTGCTGTCGCCCTTCAGATGCCGGGAGGCTGCTTGGAATCGCCCTTGGTTTGCGCGGTGGGGGTGGGCGGCGTGGAGGGAGTGTGAGTGTGAATGTGTGTGCTTCAGAGTGTGGATATGTATGTATGAGGGTGTGTGTATGTGAGCGTGTGAGTGTGGGGCTGTGAGAATGTTGGTGAGGGCATGAGCATGTGAGTGTTGTGGGGGTGTGAGCATGTTTGTGAGGGAATGAGACCGTGTCATTGTTGGTTTGAGAGCGTGCAAGTGTTGGTTGGGGTGTGCGTGTGTGTGACACTGGGGCTGTGGGAATGTGGGAGTGTTGGTTGGGGTGTGAGTGTGAGTGTGTTTTTTTGGGGGTGTGTTTGTGAGTGTGGGACATTGGGAGTGTGGGAGTGTTGGTTGGGGTGTGAGTGTGTGGGAGTGTGGGAGTGTGCGTTGGGGTGTGAGTGTGTGTTTGTTGGAGTGTGAGTGTGTGTGTTGGGATGTGACTGTGTGTGAGTGTGGGGCTGAGGAAATGTGGGAGTGTTTGTTGGGGTGTGAGTGTGTGTTTGTTGGGTGAGAGTGTGTGTGAGTGTGGGGCTGTGTGAGGGTCTGATGTTTGTTTGGGAGTGAGTGTGTGTGAGTGTGGGGCTGTGGAAATGTGGGAGTGTTGGTTGGGGTGTGAGTGTGAGTGTGTTTGTTGGGGTGGGAGTGTGAGAGTGTGGGAGTGTTGGTTGGGTTGTGAGCGTGTGTGTTTCTTGGGGTGAGTGTGGGAGTGTTTGTTGGGGTGTGAGTGTGTGTTGGTTGGGGTGTGACTGTGTGGGAGTGTTGGTTGGGGTATGAGTGTGAGTTTGTGTTGGTTGGGGTGTGAGTGTGTGTTTGTTGGGTGAGAGTGTTGTGAGTGTGGGGCTGTGGGATGGTATGATGTTTGTTGGGGAGTGAGTGTGTGTGAGTGTGGGGCTGTGGAAATGTGGGAGTGTTGGTTGGGGTGTGAGTGTGTTTGTTGGGGTGAGTGGGAGTGTGAGAGTGTGGGAGTGTTTGTTGAAGTGTGAGTGTGTGGGAGTGTGGGGCTGTGGGAGCGTTTTAGTTTGTGGGGGTGTGAGACTGTGGGACTCAGTGGCCTCCTCGGTCGGCGCCTGTCTCTCTTGCCAAAGGTGTCTTTTGTCCCCCCCTCCTCGTTGTCCGCAGGTACTTCCAGTGTCAGCCCAAGTACGGCTTGTTTGCTCCCATTCACAAAGTCACCAAGATCGGCTTCCCCTCCACGACACCGGCCAAGGCCAAGGCGGCCCCCGCGAGCCGTGTGATGGCCACCACCCCCGCCAGCCTGAAGCGCCGCCCGTCGGCCTCCTCGCTCAGCTCCGTGAGCTCCGTGGCCTCATCCGTGAGCAGCAGGCTCAGCCGCGTGGGACTAGTAAGAAGCTCCCCCCACCCCGCGTGGTGCTCGGGCCCCCACAGACTCCCACGGCCCCAGGGGCGAGAGGCGTAGCAGGACTGGGTGGACTGAGCAGCTCGGGGGGCAGGCGAGTGGCTTCCCAGCCAGCACTGGTGAGAGGAGCAGGGACGGACTTTCCTCAGGTGCTCAGGTCTCGTCTCCTGCCTCAGGCCGCCTTAGGGATGAAGTGGGGTAGCTGAAGGGGGCGTCGGAGGGTCAGAGCGGGACCCAGAGACTCTGGGGAACGCTTGGCGCTTGGCGTTGCTTGTTTGCTCTCTCCATCCCTCCCTGCTCCCTCCTGTCCCTCTGCACCCCTGTCGCCATGCAGAGGGGCATCGACTTCTGTCCATTGCGGGCCGCAAGTCAAAGCTGGGGCCTCGTGGCTTCTCCCCTCACGTCTCTCTGAGTCATAAACACTAAAGTGTGTCCGAATGTGCAGGGGTTTTTCCTCAGGGAAAACAGGCCCACGATGGAGAGGGTGTTCCGGGGGGCTGGCTCTGCTGGGGGCTGCGCTTCCTGCCGCCCCTTCTGCTCCGTGCATTGATGCTCGATGCGGAAGAGGAGGGAGTGAGTGTGTGTGCAACGGAAGATACAAAACAGACGACACGGGAAAGGAGCCAGGAGGCCGCGCGCCATGGGCACAGGCCTGGGGCCAGTCCCGTCTTGCTCGACCACCACCAGGTTCCCCTGTGCCGACTCCATCCTTACTTCCGACTCCTCCTTCCCCTTGTATCGCCGTTTAGGAGGGGAGCAGTCTCAGAAGCCCCTCTCCTTCCCTCGCGAGCCAGCCCGTTTATGGAATTCAGTTTTCTTTTTCTGCTTGACTGTGGTTTTGGGGCTCACTTGGCAGTGCTCGGGGACTCCAGGAGTGGTGCTTGGGGGCTGCTTCCAGTGGAGGGGGTTTGAGGCCAGGTCTTGGTGCGAGACCCCCAAGGCTGCCAAGCTCTTCCCAGCCACCCCGCGAAATCCGAGTTGACTGCAGTTCCTGGGAGCACTGCACATGGCTGAACCCGAGAGCTTGTGTTCTCCTAGAAATTTTATTTATGTATTATTTGGTTTTGGGGCCGCACTCAGGGGTGCTCAGGGCTTATTCCTGGCTCTCTGCATGGGGGGGTGTCACTCCTGACGTTGCTGGATCTTGAACCTCTGCAAGCACCCCCCCAACCCCCAACAGACTCTTTGGGCCTGGGGAGAGCATTTAATCTGCTCAGATATACTTTAAGTGTATCGGGAAGTCACAGCCAGATCCTTACGCAGAGGCAAGGATGCGCCGCTCCCCGGACAGAACCAGGTAGCTCGAGAGCTCGCAGCAGGCAAAGCAGCAGTGGACAGCCTGGGCCCTGCTGGGCCCGTCGGTCAGGAGGCGTTTGGCAGCAGCTCAGATGATGCGGGGAAGCGGCAAGAGACCCCGTGACTGGACCTCAGCAGGGCGATGGAACAGGGATGGCCAGGCAGCGGAGCGGACGTCCTCGGCCACCCCGCCTCAGCCCCTGCCACCTTGTGCCCGAAGAATGAAGACCAGGTCCCACCTTGTCCCCTCCTGCAGGGGCCGTTGTGCCGAGAGGGATCTGGGTCTGCAGAGCGACGATGAGCGACCACGAGCCCAGGATAGAACGGACAGGACCCCCGGTCCCCAGGACCTCCAGCCCACTCCCCTCCCCTCCTCACTGTCTTTGCCTCTTCTCTCCTTCCCTTCGTGCTTGGTCTTCCCCTGAGCTGCCCTTGCTGTCCTGCTCGCTGGGCGTGAGCCCTCACACATGCTCACCCACCACTTGTTCCTTTTTTTCCTGGATTTTGGGCCACACCCCAGCAATGCTCAGGACTTACTCCGGGCTCTGCACTCAGGACTCACTCCTGGTGGGCTCGGGACCCTATGGGGTGGGTACCTGGGATCCAGTTTGGGTCAGCGGCATGCAAGGCCAGCGCCTTCCCCGCAACTTTATCATTCTAGCCTCTCATCCCCCACTTTCGAAGGCACATGGCACAGGGGTCTTTTATGGGGTCAAACCCAGTGACCCTGAGGGGCACGGGGCCATTCCCAGAGACAAGAGTCTCTGGTTAGTGCTATTGAGGCTTGGGGTGGGTGCTGAGGAGAGCGAGGTGAGCTGGAAGGAAGAGGAAGAGAGAAGGGCCAGGCTGCCCTGGGGAGACCCTGACGGACCTGCAAGGCTGAAGATGCTGGAGCCGGCCTCAAGCTCAGGCCAAGGGCTCAACCTTAAGGAAGCTCAGGCCAGAGCGGGCCGTGGAGGGGGCTGCCTCCGGCTCTGCAGAAGAGTCTCTGGATTCCCACGAAACCCATCAGTCGAGCCCAGATCCCGTCCAAGGATCTTCGGGAAGGTTTCAAGACGCTTCTGCTGAGAGTCGCTGGCCCATATGCACGGATGCAGCGCTGCTCCATCTGCGTTGCCGAGGATAGCCGCGTGCATGCCCGTGTCACCACCCCCACCCCCTTCACGTCTCTTTTTCCTTTGCAGTTGCCAGAAACCTCCTCTCGCTATGCCTGCAAGATCTCCAGCACCACCGCCCCCCAGGAGGCGCTGAAGGAGAAGCAGCAGCACATTGAGCAGCTGCTGGCTGAACGGGACCTGGAGAGGGTGGAGGTGGCCAAGGCCACGAGCCATGTGGGGGTGATAGAGCAGGAGCTGGCCCTGGCCGGGACGGGCACGACCAGGTGACGTCTGTGCAGACGGCAGTGCCGGGGCCAAGAGACGCTTGCAGCAAATGCTGGGTGCGACCTTGGTGCAGGCGGTGCAGGGAGAGGCCGTGGGTCCCCGTCTGCCGTCGTTGCGGTGGCATCCGGCGCGTGGTTTGATCGCATGCACCTTCTTCTTGCCCCGTGGGGGTTCAGGGAGCGCCGAGTTATCCCCGCCGGTGCTTTTGTGGTGTGGTTCCCCCCCGGCCTTCCAGAAACGCTGCAGCTTAGGTGGGAGACGCGTTCAGTATGCCGCGGTGGCAGGTGGCGGTGCCAGCCCACAGAGGGCTGTCGAAGGCGGGCGAGGACACTCACGCGCAGTTGCCTCCACAGCACGTCCTGGAGCTAGGGGCCAAGATGGACAAGCAGCGGGCCATGCTGGAAGCGAGCGACCGGGAGAAGGTGGAGCTGCTGAACCAGCTGGAGGAGGAGAAGAGGTGAGGCCGTGCCCCAAGCTGGAGAACTGCCTCGGGCGGGGCGCGCCTGGCCTTCCAGGGCTGTGAGGACCAGAAACCACCGGGTGCCCAGTCCTGAGCGTGGCCTCAGGGGGGGAATGGGGGTAGCTCACTGGAGCCCAGGCACCCCCGGCCCTCCCTGCTGTGTCCACGTGGCCTGGTGTTCAGGAGGCCTGTGCTGGGTGGCTGGGAACTGTCGTATCCCAGTGGGGCCCTGTGGGAGTCCCTGGGGTTAAGTCCTGGGCGGGAGGAAACCCGCAGCACCCATGGGGCACGGCAGCAGACGGGCAGGGCTCAGGCCAGGCTGCAGACAGACGGACACGGGGTGCCGGCCAAGACCGTCTTCTCAGATGGGCTCCCGGCAGTGTGGTGCCCAGGGGCACTGCCAGTGCCCGGCTCAGCTCCTCAGCTGCACATGCCGAACTCGCCACGTCCCCTGGGAGCCCCTCCTGCTCCCCCTAGCCCCGAGTCGTTTGCTGCTTCTCCCCGAGGGGCTCAGTTGTTGTCCCGATGCGGGGACAGGCGCTGGCTGGGAGGGACTGGCACGCACACCTGGTCAGTCTTTAACCACCTCTGTTAGCTGCGAGGCAGAAAAGGCTGATATGACACTGCGCCTGGCGTTGGCTCAGCAGAGCTTCCTCCTGTAGCCTGCGGGTGCCACCCAGTGCTCACAGCCGAGGGGACTCGCTGACTTTCTTTTTTTTCTTTTTGGGTCAACCCAGTGATGGTCAGGGGTTACTCCTGCCTCAGCACTCAGGAATTATTCCTGGCATTGCACGGGGGACCATAATGGGATGCTGGGAATTGAACCCGGGTCGGCCACGTGCAAGATAAATGCCCTGCCCGCTGTACTCTCGCTCTGGCCCTCACTGACTCTCTGAGCCCTCCTGTGTGTGGAGCCGGGGCTGGGTCAGGCGCGCATCTACAGGATGGTGGCCCTCATGGGGGGCAGCAGTGACGCCCCTCACAACTCTCCCTCTCCCCCACAGGAAAGTGGAGGACCTCCAGTTCCGAGTCGAAGAGGAGTCCATCACCAAAGGCGACCTGGAGGTAAAGCCCGGGCAGGTCGCAGAGGCTTGCAGGGTGCAGGCCAGGATGCGGGGTGGCCTGGCCGACCCCGCCGGGACCACTTCTGCTGGAGACTCCGAATCAGACAGGGATACCTGGGGTCATGCACCTGGCAGGGCCCGGCTGAGGCACCTCTGCTCCTTGGGGCCGGCGGCTGCTGTTGATGAGCGTTTTTCTCTCGTTCTGACAGTTGGGTCTACGCCTTTGCCTCAGCTTTGATTTTCAGTCAAGCAGCACAAATCAAATCCTTTAGAACCCCAGTTTTTTGAAGGTATTCCTTAAAACAAGAAGAAGCAAACAGTCAGTTTCACAAGAATAATTTCTATTTCTGCTTCTTTTCCTTCCTGTTTTAAGTTCATGGAAATTTTGTTTTCCCACCAGAAGGAGGTGAAGGCCCTGCAGTCGGCCTCCGAGAAGCTCGCCAAGGAGAACGAGAGGCTGAGGACCAAGCAGGACCATGCCAACGAGGAGAACGCGGACGTGATCGCCCTGTGGAAGTCCAAGCTGGAGACGGCCATCGGCCCGCACCAACAGGCCATGGGCGAGCCGAAGGCGTCCGTGAGCCGGGGCGTGGGCGCTGAGGCGGCCGAGCTGGCCGAGCTCAAGATGCAGATGGAGAGGCTGCAGTTCGAGTCCCAGCAGGAGGTGGAGAGCCTGAAGGCCCAGCTGGCGGCTGAGCGTGCGGCACACGCCTCTGAGCTGCAGACGATCAGGTCGCGGCTGGTCAGGCCGGCCCAGGAGCAGAAGAACAGCCTGGAGGCCGCGCGGGCCAAGCTCGACCAGACCGAGGACCAGCACCTGGTGGAGATGGAGGACGCCCTGAACAAGCTGCAGGAGGCGGAGACGAAGGTAAAGCACCTGGAGGGGTTGCGGGCCATGTGTAGTCAGCAAGCCCAGGCCCTGGCCAACCCTACGGCGCAGGGGGAGGCCACCCAGGAGAAACTCTTGCAGCTCGATGGGCTCCGGAAGGCCAGTTCCGAAGGTAAATTGGGAATGGAGAAGCTCAGGCAGCAGCTCCAGGTGGCTGAGTGGCAGATTCAGGAGTTAGAGAATGCAAAGGGGGCGAGAGCGGCAGGTTGGTACCCGGGCGCCCTCGCCCACTTCCACGCTCGCTCCCTGCATGCTGTGCGTCCGTCAGCTCACCGCCGTGTTCCAGCTTGGTGCTGACAGGTCTCCCGGTCACGTCCCGTGCGGTTCCCTCTGATGGGACTGAGAACGTGTAGACACGATTCTGGGGCTGTCATTGGTCCCCAGCACCCGGATGCTGTGCTAGCCTTGGCCCCAGCTAATCGGGCCCGTCTGGGGTCTTTCTGAAACCGAGAACTCTTCACAAGGCCAGTGAGAAAACAAGATGGGAGCCCCCAAAGCAAACCTCTGCCCCTCCCCTCTTGGGCCCCCTGCGTACTCGCCGAGTCTGCCCAGACCCTTGGGCTCGAGGCTGGCCGGGAGGGTCTTTCGCTGACCTTGCTGACCACCTGCTCGTGTGACTGGCTTTGCTGTCCTCTCCCCGAATCGCCTCAGTTTCCAGCTGGTGCTCAATGCGTCTGAACCTCTGAGCTCCCTCAGGGCTGTTGACATGGTCCATCTTGGTATTTCTCATTGCCGGCCCCTCCCTGCCTGCAGCACAAGCCCCCGCCCAACCCTGCAGAGATTTCATCCCTTTTAGCCTCTAAGGGGTGCTTGTGCCAAGTCCGCCTTCCAGCATGGCCTCCTGCTAGCCACGGGCATGGACTCTCATGGTAGCCCTGACCCTGGGGAAGGACAAGACAGTGAGATCTGGGCCAAGCTGAGGAAGCTGCAGTTCTCACCAAGGAGCCCCGAGAAATGCCCTTTTCCTCCTATAGGATTGTGGTGGCAGAGACGTGCCCTCCCAGCCGCCCCCCCCACCCCCCTGGCGCTGTGCGCTTTGTTGAAGAAACTTCTCTGTTGGCCAAGTTGGAAGGGCTGTGGGATTTGTAGACAGGACTGACAGACATAACAGAAGGGCCCAGAGACCCCCGGGAGTTCCTCTCAGGACTCAGGACTCCTTAGCTGGCATTCCAGAAACACCGGCTGAAACAAACGGAATCAATTCCTACGACACAGCAGGGGATAGTTGAGCCACTTGTTCGCATCAAGATGTAACAAACGTCAAGTTCTGGTGACTGCTGCCTAGTGGATTAGAGGTTCTTCATTTTAAATTTCATATTGAAACCCCTCAAACTTTTAATGTCACAGACAAGAAACTACAAGAAAGTAAATCTTGTGGGCCAGAGTGATAGTACAGTGGGAAGGGCATTTGCCTTGCACACGGCCTACGTGAGTTCGATCTCCAGCCTCCCATAGGGTCACTGTCATTGTCACTGTCCTCCCGTTGTTCATCGTTAGCTGGAGCGGGCCAAAAAAAAAAAGATAACCTTTTCTTCCTTCCCTCCCTTCCCTTTCCCTTTCTTCCCTGTTTCCTCCCTCCCTCCTTCCTATCCTTAGCCTCCCTCCTCCCTTGCTTACGTCCTTCTTCCTCGCCAAGCCATGGTCTGGGCTCTGGGGTCCTCCCGCCCAGCAGTAGTGGGTCTTTTCAGCTTGTGGACTGATCTCAGGCTCGCCCAGTGGTGCTGTAGTTCAAACTTGGGCCTGGTGTGTACTCCAACCCTTTGTGCCGTATCCCCGCCCCTGGAAAGTCAGTCTTTCTCATAGGCTTTCTTATTTTCTGGTCATTCCAAATGTAGGTCTATAAAATGCCTCTGTTTGTGCCGTTTTCAATAACCACTAGACAATCATCACCAGAACTGACAGCGCCAAGGCCTTGGCTTCGAGAGCTCCAGGCAATCACGCTCACCTCACGCCTCTGTTCTTCAGGGTTGTGTTGGGTCATGGGCTTCTCCTACGTGTTTTCTGTTTTGTTTTCCCCTTCCCATTCCTGTTCGTCTTTTTGGTCCATTCACTCCATCCTTGTCACTCTGGTAGGCCCATAGCCTGGCCGAGGATCTGCAGGGGAAGGGGCTAGCGCTTCGTAGTCTTCAGGAGAACTTGAACGAAGCCGGCCGAGTGAAGGAGGCTTTGGAGAAAGAGCTTCGGAGTTTGGTGAGTACCAGGGGAGTCGGACGCTGATCTTTACCTTGCTGAGGGTAAAGCGAAGCCTCCTCAGGCGAGCTCGGCCCTATCGCCTCTGAGGCTCACGAGCGTGTCAGCTAGAAAGCCCCAGGGGCTGCACGAGCCCCCATTGGGGCAGCAAAGGTAGGTGCGCTGCTCTGTCCCCACTGTGCCCGTCGCCTCTGCCTGATCAGTGAGTGGCCAGCGATGCTCCCGGAGTGCCGGGCTCCTTCCTCCCCTCAGCAGTGCCTCAGGCTCCTCTCCCGTGCCCCCTGCCCCCTCGGCTCTGTCTCCCCTGCCAGCCGGGAGCACTGGGGGCTCACAGCAAGGGGAGGGGGTGAGAGACATGCGCTGGGAAGGCCGCTTTTCTGGAACCTTCCAGACACCTTCCTGCACTGGATCAAAGTGTGTTTTCTGGTTTTCTTTTTAGGATTTTGGTTTTGTGTGTGTGTGTGTTTGTTTGTTTGTGTCTTGGGTTTTTTGTATATTCAGCTGTGCTGAGACCTTCACCTGGCTCTGTGCTCAGGGATCATTCCTGGTGGCCCTCAGGGGACCACGTGGAATGCTGGGGATTGAACCTGGGTTGGACACATACAAAGCAAAACACCTAAAGTATCTGGTTGTTTTTGTTTTTGTTTTCTTTTTTGGCTTTTTGGGTCACACCTGGTGATGCTCAGAGGTTACTCCTAGCTCTGCACTCAGGAATTACTCCTGGCGGAGCTTGGGGGACTACATGGGATTCCGGGGATTGAACCTGGGTCAGCCACATGCAAGGCAAACGCCCTCCCCACTGTCCCATCACTCTGGCGCTGGACCTTGATGAACTGGGCCTTTCCGTTGAGATGGTACTGATGGGGCCCCGTCAGGACCCGGGACTGAGCCCTTAAGGAGCCGTTCAGAACCCTGCGGGAGGCTTCCAAGGGAATCGTCCTTGCTGGGGCAGCATGGGCCCAGCACACGCAGTATCACAGGCTATCTGTGTATGCTTGAGAACATGTGTACACATGTGTGTCCACAGCCATGCACACACCCCAGTATACACACATGGGCTTCTGTCATGTGCAGAGTCATACATGTCCTTGGACATGCAAGCAAATACATACATATTTGCACAACTTACTCGTGTTTGCCAGGCAGATACACACTGGGCATTGATAGCTGAGTTTGGGGTGGATTATTTTTGTTTTCTGGGTTTTTTTGGTCTTGTTGTTTTTTGTCTTTTTTGGGTCACAGTTGGGGATGTTCAGGGGTCACTCCTGGCTCTGCACTCAGGAATTACTACTGACGGTGCATCCCCTATGGGATGCTGGGGATCAAAGGCGGGTCAGCCTTGTGCAAGACAAACACCCTCCCCGCTGGGCTATTGCTCTGGCCCTGGGGTGTGTATATATATATATATATTTTTTTTTTTTTTGGTGGTGGTGGTGGGGGACTAGTGCCATGCCTGTCTGTCCTTGGAGGCGACTCCTGGCTTTGTGCTCAGGATATTCCTGTTAGTGCCGGGATTCAGACCGGGGCCAAGTGGCCTTACTCAGTGCTCTCTCTCTCCCAGCCCCCAGATGATCACCATGTTTATTGGGGCTCCCCCCAAACTCGGTGGTATTCCTGGCTCAGGGTCTAACTGGCTGGCTGTTCTTGGGCGTCTGGACCCTGTGCCAGCCCTTCAGCCCCCAATATCTATGTTCTAAGTGCAAGTTCATTTTCATGAACATTGTGTGTGTGTGCTGGTGAGCAGAGCAGAGTCGCCATGTGTGTGCGGGTATGTTTGTGTGTGTGTGTGTGTGTGTGTGTGTGCGCGCGCGCGTGTGTGCTGGGGGCAGGCAGGAGGCCTGCGGCTGACGGTGGCCCCCGGCTCCCCGCAGGGGGAGAAGGTGGACGTGAGCCGCAGCCAGTCCCAGGCTCTGCAGGCCGAGCACGCCAAGTCCACCACGGAGAGCCAGGCGCAGCACGAGGAGGCGCTGCAAGCCCTGCAGAAGCTGCGGCTGCAGGCGGAGGAGAAGCTGCAGGCGGCGCAGGCGGAGAACAGGAGCCTGCTGCGGGAGGTGGCCGAGCTGAAGATGCAAGCCGACGAGGCCAAGGTGTGTGGGCGCAGGGCCGCCGTCTCGGGGTCGGGCTCTGTTGGGGGCCTCAGCCTGCAGCCTCAGACACTTCCTCTGCCCGTCGGTGCCTGTGAGAGCCGGAAGGGGGTTGCTCCCGGGGCGCCCGGCAGAACACATAGAAGCCCAGGGACCCCAGCTTGGGTTGTCCGTTTTGTTTTTAGCTTGTTCAGTAAGTTCAGGCCTTCGTGTTTTCATTTGATTGCTCAAAGGCATTTTTCAGTGTATCAGAGAAATGTTAAGGTTCGAAGCTCAATGGGGAGAAATAGAGCGGCTGGAACTAGTGCAGTGAGAGGGCACTTGCTGTGCACGTGACCCACCGGGGGATCCCTGCATCCCCCAGGGTCCCCCAAGCACCCAGGAGGACGCCGTGACCTCTGCCAGGTGTGAACCCCAAAAGAAAAAGGAAAATAATGTACACACACATATATGTGTGTACATACATAACATGTACATATGTGTACATCTTTATATCCATATAATAAGTGTATTTTAATTCATATGTACGTATTTTGATACGTTTTTAGTTTTACATGCTTGTTCCCATGTATAGTTTATACATATATGTGTGAGCCTATACATATATGTGCTTGTATGTATATGTGTGTGTATACATACCTATAAGCCAATGGAAAGAAAAACGGAAGCGCGCTTACATCAGAGGAAACCAGGGCTGCTGAGTGGCGGCCATGGCCTGCGAGTGTGTCGGTGCCCGGCCTCTTTCCACCACGCACCAGAGCCAGGGCTACGTCTCCTCTCTGGACTACCTGCACGGCCCGGTTCTGTGGCCAGCAGCCTCGTGTGCATGCTCAGGTCAGTCCCATTCCGGTAACATGACCGTCAGCGGTCAGCTGCCCAGCACACGCCAGTAGCCTGCTGCGGCTCATGGCTGCTGAGCTGGACAGAGAAGATAGCCCTTGCTGCAGAAAGTTCTGGAAAGTACATGGCGGTTAAACTATGGTGTGCATTGAGACTCAGAAACGAAAACGCACAACCCGTTGCTAACGGGCAGGGAGAGCAGGTGAGGGAGACCCTGGCCACTCCTCCTGGAGCCCCTGGGCCCCTCCCAAATTACTGTGTGCGGCCACTCCTCCTGGAGCCCCTGGACCCCTCCCAAATTACTGCAAACACTGCCCTCCCATTGCTCATCGATTTGCTCGAGCGGACCCACTAATGTCTCCATTTTGAGACTTGTTGTTACTGTGTTTGGCAAGCAAAACCTGTTGGCTTCAGTCTCCAAAGCTTGGTGGATTAGTCTGGATTTTCTATAAAGTGTATAACTTTTGGGACTAAGTCCATTTCCTGCCTCTGTTTGTCCCTGTGAAAATCGTTTGACAACCAGTGGTTGCTTTTCCCTTCCCCTCCTGCACAAAGTTCAAAAACAAAATACTTTTTGTGGTCCTTTGAATTGTATTGAAAACTAGTTTTTTAATGCATCCCTTCTGTGACAGAGTGATGGATTTTATAATAGAAGAATTGAAGTGGGGGGAAAAATCTTATGCCCCAATGTCAAGATCCAACTGTCCAAACTTCCGGGGAGCTGTCAGGAATAATTTCAGACGGCATTTCAAAAATAAAATCGGCTGATAGTAGAATGGGTAGGGTGCTGCCTTGTACTCGGCCAACCTGGGGTTGATCCCCAGCATCCTGTCTGGTCCTCCAGCCCTGCCAGCAGTGATCCCTGAGCACAGAAAACTGAGCGAGACCCGAACACCACCAGGTGTGGGGCCCCCATCCACAAAATAGGCAGGTAGATATGTTGAGCCCAAGAAGCTAACTGTGTTTGAGCCTCTCCATCCTGCGAGTGTGTGTGTGTGTGTGTGTGTGTGTGTGTGAGTGAGTGTGTGTGTGTGTGTGTGTGTGTGTGTGTGTGTGTGTGTGTGCGCGCGCGTATACACCATGTGCAGGTAAGACTACTCTACCATTTTCATTTCTGGTATTTAGGCCGAGTGTAAGAAGGGCCTGGAGGAGAGGGGCCAGCTGGAGGAGCATGTCAAGAAGCTGGTTCTGGAGAACCTATCCCTGGCCAAGGACAAGGACAACATCATCCAGAAGCTGCAGTGCTCCTACGAGGAGCTGGCTCGGGATCAGAAGTCGCTGGTGCAAGAGATCGAGGAGCTCACGGCCGAGAAGAAGTCGGCCCTCGAGAAGCAGTCGGCCCTCGAGGCGGCGCTGCAGGAGGCCCGGGACGCGGTCCGCAGCCTGGAGAAGACACACGCCAGCGTGCTGCAGGCCAAGGAGGCGCTCGACGCCGAGCGGCAGGAGGAGTGCCGGCGGCTGGCGGAGGACGGGCTGGCGGCACAGCAGGCCCTGGTGCAGGAGCGGGAGGCCCGCGCCCAGGAGACCCAGGCGGCCGCCCACGAGGCCAGCCAGCTGCGAGGCCGCCTGGGGCTGCTGGAGCAGGAGGCGGAGGAGCTGCGGGCGCGTGCCCAGGGGCTGCAGGCCGAGCGCCTGGACCTGCTGGAGGAGAAGGCGCGGTCAGACCAGAAGGTGGCCGAGATCCTGCGGGAGACGGAGCTGCTGAGCGCCGACGCCGCCCGGCTGGCCACCGACATCGAGGCCCTCAAGGGCGACTTCGCGGCCCTGTCCAAATCCAAGCTGGAGCTGCAGAGCCTGCACATCTGCCTCGCCGAGATCCTGGCCGACCTGCAGCGCAAGCACGAGGCGGCCCTGGCCGAGCAGGCCCAGGCCGGGCAAGAGAACGAGAGCCTGCTGGCCGAGAAGAGGGAGCTGCAGCAAGAGAGGGCCGAGCTCCTGCAGGAGAAGGAGCAGCTGGCCGGCAGGTACATCCTCCTCCAAAAGGAGGTCAGTTGGCTGGCCCAGACCAGCAGCCACGTCTCGGCCAACCTCCTGGAGGCCCAGAAGGAGAACCGTGTGCTTAGGAAGGACAAGATCAGGCTCACTTTCAAGATCAGAGAGCTCGAGACGCTACAGTCTTTTACGGTAAAGTGGAGCAGGCCCGACCCCCGTTGGCCCCGGGCACCCCCTTGTAGCGGTTAAGAGGATTGCTCTTCTTCGGCACAAGGAGCAGTGGATCCCCACGGAACCCGTCGCATGTGTGTCACGGGCTGTTTGCTGCGGGTGCAGGGACAGCTCGTCACCACGTGGCTGGTGACCTCTAGGACAAGGCATAAGCTGTGAATAAAACTGAAAAAGAACAGTATGTTCATATCCGGGGGGAGTTCTCACGGAAGTTTGCACTGTGGCTCTTCAAGACGTAAGGGAAGGCATGAGAGAGGCACTAAGTTGTAAAGCAAGCAGTGTCTTCTGGGGGGGCTTTGAGCGGTTGCCTTGAGTCTGCTCACTTGGGACTCCGGGGTGCCCTGTGCCCCCAGCAGTGTGCCTGGTGCAGGGCAGCTGGGACTCGGGGGTGCCCTGTGCCACCAGCAGGGTGCCTAGTGCAGGGCAGCTTGGAATTGGGGGTGCCTGGTGCCGGGCAGGTGTTCTCTCTTCCCAGCTGACTCAGGGTTTGCCTTTCTCCCACTCCCACACCGGTGCTCACGGCTCACATCTCCTCTCCTTCCCCCCCCCCCCCCCACCGCCCACGCTTTCCAACCAGGCCTGCTTAGCTGTCCGCTCATGTCATTTTTATTCTGTGTGAGGAATGGAGGCTCTTGGGAGCCCGGGGCTGTGTCGGGGCGTCAGTCTTGCCGCTGAGCGGCTTAGACGTGAGTCCCCGCGGGGTGAGCGGCGCCCGGGGGGGGGGGGGGGGAGGGCGGAACCTCTGTGGCAGGTTTGTGTGGCATTTCGTGCCGTGCTCTGCCACTGCGGCCAACCCCTCCCTGCCCCCCCCCCCCCCGGCGTGGCTCAACGAGGTTTCTCTCTCCAGGCTGTGCAGACAGCGGAAGATGCCAGGCATTTTATGGAGCAACTGTCCCAGGAGAAGACAGAGACCCTGGCCTCCCTGGAGGACACCAGGAACACCAATGCAAACTTGCAGAATGAGGTGGGTGATGGTGGTGACCAGGGCTGTGTAGGCCTGGCCTCAGCCTTGAGAGAAACCATATCCTGGGCCAGAGTGATAGCACAGCGGGGAGGGCATTTGACTTACACACGCCAGACCCAGGTTCTATCCCCGGCATCCCATCTGGTCCCCTGAGCACCGCCAGGAGTAATTGGTCCCTGGTTCTTGCATGGGACAGGAGGGGAAGTGTACCCCTGCGTGACCCCTGTATAACCCCTGGGGAGGTGCTGTGCGGAGTGACCACACAGGATCTGGGGGACATGGGGCGGCCTGGCGAGATCACTGAACAGCTGACCACTCCCAGACTGCTCGGAGGAGCAAGGAGCCCGGCAGGGACTGGACGCCCCAGTTAGCTCGCCCAGAGCCTGGGCCGGGACAGGAAGAGAAGCCACATGTGTTGACATATGCAGCGTCTCAAGGCTCTTTGATGACCGTGAGAAGGCGAGCCAGTGCCCTCTGACCACACAGCCCCACTTTCCCGGGCTCGAGTGACTGCTGACGGCCTGGGCTGCTCCTCCCTCGCCAGGAGTGATCCCTGAGAACAGAGCCAGGGCTTAGTCCACACCCACCAAACAAACCAAACTGACTACCCACAAAGGTTATAGATAAGCGTGTATACATACACAGACATGTACATATGTATATATGCGTGTACGCTTCAAAAGAGTTGGTGAATATCTACCATTTAAGATATCCGTGAATGGGGCCGGAGCTATAGCACAGCAGGTAGGGTGTTTGCCTTGCACATGGCCAACCCAGGTTCCATCCCCGGCATCCCATATGGTCCCCGAAGCACCGCCAGGAGTAATTCCGGAGTGCAGAGCCAGGAGTCACTCCTGAGGAATGCCGGGTTGTGACCCAAAAAGCCACCCCCCCAAATTAATTGATTAATCAAAATAAAAGAAGCCAAAAAGAAGGAAGCTGAGGAAGAAGGGGCGGTGCTCGCCTGGCGAGCGTGAGAACCAGGGGCCGGGCACCCTCTGCCGGAATCCCACCCCCAAATGCTCCCAGCACACAAGGTGATGCTTAAGGAGTGAAAGGCCCCATGGGCAAGGACACATCCCTTCAGTCAAGGGGTCATGTCCTTGCCAGAGCCCGAGAAGCCAGACCTCTCCACTGCCCTTACTCTTGCTGCTCTCCAAGAACCTGGGCTTCAGGCTCCCATAAAATTGGCAAATCTTCACTTTGCCAGAGTCGAACACCACTTTGGAGGGCCTCCTTCCCATCAGGAAGGTCCGGTCGCAAACGGAAACGTCCACCAACATGTGGCTGTCCTGGCCACGTTGCGCATGCTCTGGGCACAGAGCTGGGGAGTCTGGTCCTCTGGGCCGCCTTCCTGCTTCTTGCTCCTGTCGAGGGAGACAGCTGGGTGGGGTCCTCTGGGGTGTGCACAGTTGGCTGCAGACCCCAGTGCCCGCACCTACCATCAACAGGCTCAGGTCTGGCCTGCGGCAGGAGTCAGCCTTGGGGCCTCCTTGATGTCTCTCCTTCCCCAACCCTCTTCCATCACACCCGGGCCTGCAGCGCTTTATAGTTTGAATCCTCTCTGAGGAAGGGGACCATCTGGGTCCCCGTGCCCTGTGGAGTTCCCGCACACCCTCACTTCCTGCACTTCTGTACTTAACAGCCGGTGGCCCTGGACGGCACATGTGGGCTGAAGTGAACTTTGCATGTGGGCTGTGGAGGTGAACCTTCATGGACTTGTTGGGAAAGGAACATTTCCATGTTTTGGTTTTTTTTTTTGTTTTCTTTAGCTGGAGGAAGAGAGATCTGTGTTTCTTGGCTCCAGTGTGGGAGGGCCTGGGCAGTCTCAGAGACTCCTCATCAGAACTTGCCCTGAGGGAGAAAAAGAATCAGTCAGCTTTATGGTTTTCTTTCTACTTTCTTTGGGGGCCACACCTGGCGATACTCCGGGCTTCCTCCTGGCTCTGCACTCAGGAATCACTCCTGGCTGCTCTCCAGTGGCCCCTGTGGGATGCCAGGGATCAAACCTGGGTTGGCTGCGTGCGAGACAAGCACCTTTCCCGCTGTGCTATCACTCAGACACAAACCTGCCAGTTTTTAAGTGAAACATGAATGTTTGTGCCTACAGTCATGCTTACTTTTGTAAAGTGGGATTTCCCCTCCACCCCCGTGGATTTTAAAGAAGTGAGTCTGTCTTTGTAGGAGAGGGAAGGCCCTCTTGATTCCCTGCTCTGAGAGGAACCGAGGGGGCCCAGCATGTCATCCTGGGGTCTTCCCTGGGGCACCCGGGAGCTTGCACTCAGGAAGGGAAAGGGGAGCTCTGGCTGCCTCCAACCCTGGGGCGGGGACTGGAAGCGGGGCCCAGCCTTCTCTGTGGCGGGCTCCGATGGCTCCCACAGATGGCTCACCATCTCACGCTCTCCTTTAACACAGATTGATTTCCTGAATTCCGTGATTGTGGACCTCCAAAGAAAGAATCGGAACCTCAAGATGAAAGTGGAGATGATATCCGAGGTGGCTCTCGACGGAAACGGGGACGACTCAACAATTACGACAACTTCGGCCCGGCCACCCCATTCTCTGCACTGTGCAGAAATCACCAACACTTGAAGGATGACATAACAAGCTACTTGTGAAACACCTGAAATAACCAATTTACTGTCTTTACAAGATTTACATTTTTCACTGTGGTTTTAGATGAATGTATGATGAGAAATTCAACATTACTAATTTTGGATTTTCTTATCACAAAAAAATTGAATGAAGGACCTCAACCATCAGAAGTTTATTATCCAGTTTGAATCTATTTATCTTCATTTGAATGTTTTCTAGTTCTGTAAAAAGTGATAAATAATGTACCATCCAGGCTACATGTATAATAAGAACTTCTATAATTGTATGTATGATTTTGATGTATTTTTCTCTGGAGATTATCAACTGTCTGACAAGTGAAAGATCTGGATCAATTGAAATTTTTTGTAATAACCATTATTGAAATTGTTTCACAAACTATGTAAAGCAGTATTAAAATTTGAGCAAACAGGTGTTCTATATCTACTTTAATAAAATTATTTCTTTTTTGCCAGTGATAACTGATTATTCTCAGGTTTATTTATAAAAGATTTTTGGCTAGCAATGAAGAACTATAGAGTCAAATGAGTCAAACAGTTTCTACAATGGAATTGTGATACACCAATTTCTTTTTGTTTCTTTATGTTTGTGCCACACCTGGTGATGTCTTAGGGCTTATTCATGGCTCTGCACTCAGGATTGACTCCTGAAAGTGCTTGGGCAGACTCTATGGAATGTCAGGGATTGAAGCCAGATTGGCCACCTGCAAAGCAAATGCCCTACCTGCTGCACTATTGCTCTGGACCTGTAAACCATTTTCTTAAAAGCGTTTATCTTGGGCTAAAGAGATAGTCCAGTGAGTAGGGTACTTACCTTGCATGTGGCTGATCTGGGTTCAATGGCAGGAATCCCATCCAGTCCTCTGTGCCCTGGCAGGAGCAATCTCTAAGTGCAGAGGCAGGAGTAAACCCTAAGAAGCACTGGTTGGGGGTATGGTGCCACCAGCAGATCAGCCTGTACCTGTGAGGCGAGTGCATCAGCAGCCTGATGGCGCCTTCAGACTTCCAGGTACCCCCAAATTGCTGCCGTGTGTTTGGCCAGACCCCAAAAACTTGGGGCAGAGTTTACCAAGAAAGTAAACAGGCAAAAGTTAGGTATGTGGGAGACACACCCACAAACCACCTCCAGCTCAGCTATATAATTGGAGGCATGGCCTCTCTGGTTCCTGATTGAACTGCTTAACGGCCATGATCCCAGAGACTCAGAAACAAATCTCGAAACCCAACGGTTTTTGGCAGAGATGTGTCCAGTCCCTGCAGTAAGTTAGAGGCGCTGGGCCACCCCAGGTGGGAATAGATTTCGTGCCTTGGCCTGTTCTCCCTGGCAGCCTGCTGGCCGCCATCCTCCACAGGCCACTGGACAGTCAGGTTTGGGCCCACAGTGACGAGACACGTAGGGCCTCACGGGATGGGGGTGGAGCTGGCCATTTCCTCCCCAACGAGACCCCAAGTTGTCACCCACAAACGGTCTCTCTGGCTTCTGATCGAGCTGTTTAACGGCCATGATCCCAGAGACTCAAAAACAAATCTCGAAACCCAGAAGGTTTTGGCAGAAATGCATCCAGACCACACAATAGGTTACTGTTGCCGGGCCACCCCGGGGGGGAAAGGGTGCTGTCCCTCCGCCTGCTCCCCCTTGGGGGCTCAGTGGCCACCATCCGCCAGAGGTCATTGGACAGTCAGGTTTGGGTCCACAGTGATGAGATACGTGGGGCCTCATGGGATGGGGGTGGAGCCGGCCTTTTCCTCCCAGTCTCAACGAGACCCCCAAGTCGCCGCCCATGAACGGCCTCTCTGGGTCCTGATTAAGCTGCTTAACAGCCATGATCCCAGAGACTCAGAAACAAATCTCGGAATCCAGTGGCTTTTGGCAGAAATGCATCTGGACCCTGCAGTAGGTTACTGTTGCTGGGCCATTCCAGGGAGGAAAGGGTGCTGTCCCTCCACCTGCTCCCCCTTGGCGGCTCTGTGGCCGCCATCCTCCAGAGGCCATTGAAAAGTAGGTTTGGGCCCTCGTTGATGAGACAGAGCCTGGCAAGCTATCCGTTGTGTATTCGATATGCCAAAACCAGTAACTACAACGGGTCTCATTCACCTGACCCTGAAGGCTTCACCGACATGGCAGCACTGAGAAGAATGAGAAAGGAGAGGCCAATAAAATCTCAAAGCCGATCTAGGCTGCCACAACGAAGGAAGACAAAAATGATCGTCTGGGTTTTATAGTCTCTGGGTTTTGGCCGTTGATGGGACCAACCTGGCGCTGGCGGCAGCGTGTGGGTGTGACGCCTACCTACTGGAAGATGGGGAAGGGGTCTGGGTGGAGAAGGCCCAGTCCCGTTCCGAGTAGGCTTGGAGACCTCAGCCCCAGGACCCGCATGCCTGGGT